CAGTTGCCAAAAATATAACTTTTGGGTTTTTTGTTATTAAAAAACAAATAAGCAAGCCCAGCCCAGATGACAAAAAGTAACAAAAAAAGTAACGTAATAGATTACTTTCAATAAAAAGTAACTAATTGCTGCTTATTATTAGCTAGTGAAGTAGTTGTTAAGCAGTGTTGGGGAAAGTTACTTTTAAAAGTAATGCTTTACAATATTGTGTTACTCATTAAAAAATAGTTACAGTAGTTACTTTTAATGGAAAGTGATGCATTACGTTATCTGATTGAGAAAACAGTCAGAGTTAATGGTTAACATGGCTAAAACTGCCAAACAGATTATTTCAGATCCACAGCACCCTTTTCAACCGGATCAAAATTTAATTCAGATCGGATTGTGGGGTTTATATAAAGGCTTTTCAGTCTTACTGAGCCATCAATCCAATAATGAAGGAATTACTGGGTTTCATGTAAAGATAGCTAGTGTAGTGTAGGTATTGTAGTATTCTACTCTTAAAATAAAGGTTCTTTATTGGCATTTATGGTTCTGCAAAGAACCTTTAACATCCATTGAATCTTTCCATTGCACAAAAGGTTCTTCATCATGTAAAAAAAAAAAAAAAAGGTTCAGTTGCACTTTACAGACGCACAAGCTGTCCTTGTTACAGTGTAATTATATATTTAAGTACTGAGTAATATTAATTAGCTACATGTACTTACTATATGGTTAGGGTTAGGATTAGGGTTTGGCTTAGGGTTACTTGCATGCAGTTATGCATAATTTATTGTTATTATAATAGTACATGTAACAAGGACAACTTAAAGGTCACCAAAGGTTCGGTGGTACCAAAAGATCTATAACTTTTAAAAAGTTAATTCATTATTAAAAAGTTATTTTTAGAACAGTTAACTGAATGGTTCTTTGGGGAACCAAAAATGGTTCTTCTATAGTACTGCTGTAAAAACCCTCTTTTTAAAACTTTTATTTTTAAGAAATGTCTGTCACTGCTCTTTTTTTATCTGCTCTCATAAGGCTTTTAATGAAAAGAGGCCACATCAGAAGAACGAGGGTGTTCTGAAGACAGCGTATCCTTGTCTGATGAGTAATTATGTAATACTTCGCCAAGGGCTGGGATGAACAGCAGGGTGGTACTTTTTCAGGACATGAATGTGGACGTATAACGGAAGATTTTTGTATCAGAGCTAACCAGTCCACGTCGAATCTGTGCGACCAACTTGAACTTATTGCAAAATTCTGTGTGGGAAAATTGAACAGCTTTGAAATGACTGGATTTCGCCTGTGAAAATTTACAGAGGGTGCTTTAAACTGCTCCTGATTTCTCTAAACTTTGACTTGGATGAACATTGCAAATGGCAGTGGAAACAGAACTGTGTGTTGAGTGCTCATATGTGAACTCACAGATGGATGAAATGGATTTGTTTAAATGTTTTGTTACAAATTTGCTTCCTTACAAGAAACAACTGAGCTCCAAAACCAATGTCCATCAGTCTATCTTCTTGACTATATGACTAAGCAATTATTTGTCTGTCTGCGTGTGTGTTAGCACTCTCCCCTCTCTATAACATGGAGAATAATGCAGAAAATGTCCTGTGGGATGGGTAATCAAAGCGCAGCGGCCGTGCCGGAAAGCTTTAGGACGACGTCCCTGAGCATCAGCCCCATCTTCTGATTTGATGCACATTCACAGTCTCTGCTTAATGCTCCTCGTTCCTTTTGTTTCTTTTGCTTTGCCTTTCTGATTTGATGGCTTTTGGACCCCAGATGACAATGAGATGAAAGCAAGGGCCTGATGAAACACAATCCAGCTGCTGCGGCTCAGTTTTATGGATGATATATTACTCTTATGAGGATCTGCCCTTTTACTGGGCCTGACCTACACGTATAAAGAGCCCTAAAGCACGCTCGCCTTTTCTTGCCATTTGCTTATATCTCATCGTCT